GCCTGTCCTCACCGAGCTCCTTTCCCCCGGTGATTAAAGCACTTTCTCTAGGTCCCCCCGTCTCCTTCCCCTGCCATGTTGGGATGAACCATGAACCATGATGTCCTTCTCTATGCAGCTCGGACACCTACTCCAGCGGGGATCTTGGCCAACACTAATGGTGATTTTTTGTTGTTGTTGTTGGGGGATTTGTCTTCTTTCCCTTTTGACTTCACAAGAGCAATTCCTACAAGACCCGAAGCCGCCTCCCCTTGGGCTGGGCTTCCTGCACATGCTTCCTCCTGCCTTCATCCTCCTCGCCTGCCCGACCACGCCGGGAGCTGCGTGCTGTTCAACCTGATGCTCGAGGGCTCCTTTGCCTCTTCGTGAGGCCACTGGAACTTTAATCCAGGAAATTCGGGGGCTCCCCAACTTGCCCTTCGCACCCCGGGCAGGGCAGCCCCTGGCTCAACTGCTGAGCCTTGTGATGGAGTCAATTGTCCCTTGAGACTTTATTCTCAAAAAAAAAAAAAGCACCCCAAAACGTGACACGAGGAACAGGAAACCTTTTGGAAAGGTGGTACCTTGGAAAAAAAACCCTCCTCTACCCCATCCCCACCCGCTTGCCCAGGGCATGGGCACGTCGACCACGTCCCACTGCGGGGAGGAGGACCTGCCCCTGCCTCTTGCCTTCCACTTCCATCCTCTGCTTCTGCTTCCAGGGCAAAATGTCCCCGTGTCCCCGGGGCAGACAGGTTCCTTCTCACCCCAAGCTGTTCCCGGATTGTCTCCTCCTGTTTGCTGGATGGTTTGGGCTCCCCTTTTACCCTGTGGGGGGGGTTTAATTTCCCTCCCGACCTGGTTGAGAGGTGCCGAACCTCCCCCGGGAGCTGTGGTGCTGCAGCACTTCTCCTGGCATCCAGTCCCCAGAGGCCAAACCCCCCCTCCCTGTGCCCCCTTGCCCCGCTGCAGTATTAATTACCCCTTCTAATTGCACTCTGCAGGGCGGGGGAGACCTACAGTATTCGCTGCTCTCTGGTGTTGGCTTCTCCCGGATCTATCCACAGCCTTACCGGCCCCGGAGGGGGGCTCCTTAACTCCTCCAAAGCCTAGAGAAACCCCCACAGCAAACCCCAGCAGTAAGGAAATAACCAAAGCAGCCCTGAGATGTTCCTCCTCTAGTTCATTTCCCTTCTCTCTCTGTTCTTCCTCCTCCGGACCCTGTTCAACTGTGTGGAACTTAAAGCCATGGAATTAAAGAAAAAATAATAATAATAATAATACATATATATGTATATAGATATATATCTATATATTGCAGATACACAAGTTGTTTGTATCCAGGGCATAAACCTGGGTGTGAAACGGCCTCTCAGTTGCACAAACGTGTTGTTTCTCTTCCTTGGGTTGGTGCAAGAAGGGGGGGGTGTTGGAGGGGGAGCAGGAGAGCGGGGCCAGGCTGCCAGCGATGGGGACCCTGTGGGGACCTCTCCGGTGCAGGACTGGGCCCTGGCTCACCCCCCCTCTGCACCTCCAGCAGGCAGGGGGACCTGGGGACACGGCCGGGGGCTGCTTCTCTCGTCCCCGAGGGTGTTTGCCTCCATCTCCTCTCTCTGCGCCGTGGTCCTGCGCTGTCATTGTCCCTCCGTGGGGACAGGAGCATCCCCAGGGTCAGAGCTCTGTGTTCCCATCAGCTGCAGTGCCTGGTGCTGAACCTCCCCGGCACCAGCAGCAGCCAGTGCTGCTGTCATTAAAAACATATAGAAAAGGGAGAGGGGAGGGCGGGCAGGGGGATGCTCTGGAGGCTGCTGGGATGCAGGGGTCCCAGCAGTGGTACCCACCACCTGTACCCACCACCTGTACCCAGTCCAGCTGCCCCTGGCAGTGCAAAGCCAAGGCAGAAAGGCAAAGCAGAGCCCTTCCCGAGGAGGAGCAGGATGTGGCCGAGCTGGGGGCCAGGGGATGCTCTGGGGATGCTGGAGGATGCAGGGGTTCCAGCAGTGGTACCCAGCACCTGTACCCAGCAGTGGTACCCAGCACCTGTACCCAGCAGTGGTACCCAGCCCGGCTGCCACCAGCAGTGCAAAACCAAGGTGAAAAGGCAAAGCAGAGCCCTTCCCGAGGAGGAGCAGGATGTGGCCGAGCTGGGGGATCAGGGGATGCTGGAGGATGCAGGGATTCCAGCAGTGGTACCCAACACCTGTACCCAGCAGTGGTACCCAGCCCGGCTGCCACCAGTGCAGTGCAAAACCAAGGTGAAAAGGCAAAGCAGAGCCCTTCCCGAGGAGGAGCAGGATGTGGCCGAGCTGGGGGGTCTGGGGGATGCCGGGGGGGCTGCCAGCCCCGGGGCTCAGCAGGGCTCCACGTAATTGCCGGGGAAGAAACCCGCCTCCTCGCCCATCACACCCTCGCACCAGCCGTCCGAGTAGCGCCGCGTGACGAAGAGGAGGGTGCCGGGCTGGAAGGAGAGCTCGTTGTCCTTCTGCCGCGTGTAGGGGTAGAGGGTCACCACTGCGAGGGGAGGGGGAGAGAGGGGGTCCATGAGCCCGGCAACGCCACCACAGGGGACAGGCCACCGCTGGGGAGGGACATGCCATCCCAGTCCCCACCAGTTGGGCCCTTGGTGCTGTGGTGGCAGGCAGGGGCTCAACCAAAAGCACCACGGGGGGATCTGGGGATCCACCATACCTTTCTCCAGGTAGTTCTCTGGGGCCCAGGGGGGGTCCTCTGCGGCAGGGGGTGGTGGTGGTGGTGGGGCCAAGTCCTCAAAGTTGGGCAAAGCAGGTGGTGGCGGCGGCTCAAGGTCATCAGGGGCTACAAAACCCCCCAAAATCCATGGGATGAAGGGCTTTGTGGGGAGCAGGGGCCACTCTTAGTCCCCACCTCCCCACTGAACCACCCATCCCCCTCCATGATGAGCA